GTCCGCGGCCATTTTTCCGCCCGTGCCACGTGGTCCGCGGCCATTTTCCGCCCGTTCCACATGGTCCGCGGCCATTTTTCCGCCCGTGCCACGTGGTCCGCAGCCATTTTCCGCCCGTTCCACGTGGTCCGTGGCCATTTTTCCGCCCCTGACGCGTGGTCCGCAGACACCGGAACGGATTAACGGTAATTACATTAAACCTTATGGGAAAATTTGCCTTGTGTTGCAACCAATTCAAGTTGCAACCAGAGTCACGGAATGGATTAAATTCGTAACTCGAGGTTCCACTGTACATAAAAGGCAATTTATGGCATGGCACAGAGACAGCCAGGCAAAGTTTAAAAATCCACTATAGACAAAGTCCCTTACATAAGCCTTAGCACATCCCCAGTTTAATGTATCCAATTTACTGTACCAACCAATACCCATAACTAAGGTATATTACCTTGTGAGATGTCGGAGAGCTACACTGAGGAGGCATGCAGGGAGTGGCCAGGCGATCCAAGTGAGCCATAACCACAACCGCTGTTTGCCTTAAATCAATTGCTAGCTCATTGTCCTGTGGCAGTATTAGGTACCTTAGGAAGTTTTCATTTGGACTTAGTGGATAAGCCAACATCTAAAATAAACACAAGCAGCATTTAAATCCATTACCTCAAGCGATGCCTGTTTAAAGCTATATATTACAGAGCTAAACATTTTTAACAGAAGATACATTAGCTAATGAGTTATAGATTTTATGAAGGTTCCACTTGTAAATGATAACAAGATTTATACCATCTTTTTACCAGAAATACCCACTTAACAGTTTATTTATTGTGCAGATCACAAATTCAGTACACGAACTGATCAACAGAACTAACAGTTGGGTACACAATAATACCTGTTTCCCTACTACAACAATAGCTATGGAACTGCTTCAATTTTCATTTCCCTCTATTTTATTTTTACTGCATTCAGGAGTTAAAAATGATTTACAGATATATATGAAATGCAATTTAAAATAGGTCCCACTACTAACTGTCAATTTGAAGTATAACTATTAATATCAGTGAAATAATTGTATTTCTCAGTCATGATGCTTGCCCTATGGAACAGATCCCCATTAAGATCCAATGTTAACAAGTCCCCAATCTCGTTAACCTTCCAGAAAACTTGACTTTCCCCATAGATGTTGGGGCCAGATTGCTAATTGAGTCTGGCATGTATGGGATTTTGACTGTGTGACAGTTTCTTGGGCCCTTGGTTACATTATAAAATTGCTTTTTTCAAAACATATTGTTTTTTATATTTATGGGGTCACTAGGTGAGAGGGTGGCTATATAAATCTTATAAATAAATAAACAAATAAATATTGTTCCAAGAGCATGCTCATAGTCTAAATGGAAGCACGGAAGTACAAACCTGAATTTCCTCTTCGGTATTGTTCATCTCTTTGTTACAAATTATACTCTGAAATCTCTGCAACAAAGGAAGGAGTGGGGCACTGGTTCCCTGTGCTGAGCGTTCATTATCTGTTTCTCTTGTACCACTATCCCAGAGTTGAAGCAACAGTATCACAGCAGACAACATTTGGCTGAAAAACGAACAGACACTAAATTGAAGGCATGGAGGAATACATCTTATCACTTCTATTTCTCTCACTTTTTTCAAGAAATTCCCTCCCCCATACAAATATTACCCATGATGTCACAGAAGCCATTATGTTCAAATGTCGCTGGGCTCTGCAGAGAAAAAATTCTTAAAGTATTTACCTAAGTGTGCCTCTCTGAACAGCCAATTCCAGTAATATAGCAAGTGCTAAGTGCTGGTCTTGCAGTGGAATGCTTCCTGATCCTTTTAAACCTGGAGCTCCATGGATGTCTCTAATTTAAAAGCAGAAATATACTGACTTACAAACACACACACACATATATAGTATATAACGTAGTATCTTGATATATGCAAATAAAAACTATCCTATTATCCAGTGTTTTCCCCTAAAATATTTAAATACCAATGGGTCATACTGTTAATTCTAGTTTTCCGATTTCTTTATATACAGACCATTAATACAGCGTTGCTACTATGCCAACCCTCATTTACAGAACAAATGTATAGGTAAGTCCATGACATGAATATCAACAAAATGAAAAGGAAGAAATGTAAGTCAGAGTTCAACATTCCTTATGTTGCTATATTTAAAGCAGTAATAATGATATGGAAATATTTAATTCCAGGTTTAGAGCAGGAAGCCTATTACCCTGTAAATCAGGGCTGCACAACAGCTTTAAAAAGTCAGTAAATTCACCACCTCCACCATTCTGAAAAATATGCTGTCAAGTGCCTCCAATGCCTCCCCACCAGCCCCAGCGCTGCCACCATTCCACTAACCACCAAACACCTGATTGGCACACCACATACTCCTTCGCAGCCCACAATTATTTTTAATTTATCAATGTGACCGTTTTCCCTCTACAAGTTGTGAGGCCTGCTTTAAATGTTTTGGATTATAATTCCAATATTTACCAAAAGCCACCTAGGAAGGAGTCTTCAAAATATATGGAAAAACAATAAGTTGCCTACTCCAACTTATTCCAACGAAGAGGGAAGAAAAATGATGTCATGCTAAAGGGTCTCAAAATAATGTTTCAGTAACATGACTTTTATTAAAACATGGACCAAGCTCAAACAGTATTTTGAAAACTTACCCAGTTACAACAGACCTTAGAAATTTAGTTGCTCTCTCCACAACCTCCAACCATACAGAGGATACTGTTCCTTCATCAAACAGGGATGCTTCTGATAGGGCTCGTAGGGCATCTAGGGACTCTTGTAACAATTCACTGCAAAGATCTGCATCCTCACCTAAGCATATAATGTATTTTAGCTGTAGTAGATATGTCACAGCACAGGAAAACAGGGACAATTGAAAGTTTAGGTTTTTTTCACCAAAACTGATCTGCAAATTTAGAACAGTTATGCAGCACTCAACATGTGACTTATACCTGATCTCCAAGCTCGCCGTAGGAATGCAAATGCGAAAGAAAGGGCCGCTCTGGATCCTACTCGGGCAAGACCTTCAACACCTTTGCTTACAGATCTAGGACTACAGGAGAGAAATTAAAGAATTATCCCTTAAATCCTATGCAAACTTCCCCCAAAAAGTGTTAAAACCAGGATTCAAACCCAACTGCCTCAAAAGATATGAACAATAAATAAGGGTGTCTGGTATGTAGTCAGGAAACAATGTGCTACCATTCTGACCAAGCTTTATAAAAATTCATACACCATACAAAACAAAACTGCTAATAATTCCTTATGTGTAGAAACAAAATCCTAATGGTATTATTACAGGATGGAACTGGGATAAGTGGGGGAGACAGATTAGATTTCTTTCATCACGCTTTTACCTTTTCTTATCCACCATGGGCAATGGGATATTGCTGCTTTTCCTCTTAACCTTGACATTCTCCAGAAGAACACTCCTATTCAATGCGATAAAATAGCGTTCTAATATAGCAAGCCTCTGTTTTAGCCTGAGAGCAGAGAGAGTTGTGGTGGCAGTCTTCTTGGCTAGGACCTGCTGCTCCTTTACAAGTACATAAAGGCACTCTTTCAGCTCATTCGCATCTACAACAAACGTAACAATATTATATGTAATGCACTTGGCAAAACGTATAAAACTATTCAAAAACTGAATATAACTTTGAATTATAGAAAGTTCATTGTTAAGGAATAACAAAAATATAATGGAGAGTAGTGTTAAATCAATATTTTGGAAAGGCACAGACATTATTGTATTTATTTAATTTCTATTTAAGAAAGAAGACTTTCTCCTAGTTTAGCAGTGATTACATTCAACCTTTCTTACGTACTTTCAGATATTTCCTCAACAAAATTAACAAATCATGTTTTCTTGACTTCCACTAATCTCAACACCACCAGTGGCACATTCATCATTTACAGGCAATGATAAACTCAAGACTTTAAACAGCGTATCTCATAAATTCTCAATATTACAACAGCTAAAAGTAATAAAACCAAATCAATTTAATTTATGTTTACATTTCTGTAGTTTAAACCATATTTATCTGCAGTATTCAAATAGTTCAACAAAATGAAATAGAATGCAAAATACCTTATAGTAAAAAAAAAACCACCTAAGATTATGCCATTCAAGGACCTTCAGTAATATAGATGTGTCCCCACCCAAGCCTTTCTGAAATTTTGCCTTTAGTTAACCAAGTCAGGGTGTGCAGTAATGCTGGACAACAAGCAGGAAATTTGGCCCGATGATGTTACAGCCACAGGAGCTTGTTAGCTCCAATCTGAGTGCTTAGTGACAGCAATCCCTGCAGTCCCAATTGTCATTGTTAACCAAATCCCACAGTCTTTAGAGGAGGCAACTTCCTGCCAGTTTCCCAGAACCAAGTTAGTGGGGAAGCCAGCAGGAAGTTGCAAGTGCCAGGCAGCTCGCAAGAAGGCCAGCAGGCAGGTAAGTGGCTGCTGCTGGGTGGGGGAGGGGACAAGGGGGTGCGTGAGGGTGCCAGGGAGGTACACCAAGGCTCAGGGAGGATGCATGAGAGTGCATGAGGCTGTGAGGGAGGCGCGGCGAGGTTCAGGGAGGGTGCACAGGGATGTACGAGGGTGCCAGGGAGGTGTGGTGAGGGTTGGGGAGGGTGTGCAAGGCTGTGAGGGAGGCGTGGCGAAGCTTGGGGAGGGTGCGGGGGTGTGTGCAAGGGAAGTGCAGCAAGGGTTGGGGAGGGTGCACAGGGGCGTACAAGTAGCAGGGGAGGCGTGGCGAGGCTTAGGAAGGGTGCATGAGTGGCTGGTGCAGCACAAGCACAGAAGTGCTCGGGAGGGTGTGCAGGTGGGGGAGATTTACCTCAATGACTTGCAACCTTCCCTGCCAGTATCCCCAGTGACTTTCTGAGGAAGCTGGCAGGGAAGGTCACAAACGGCAATCACATGATCGTGGGATCCTGCAACTGGTCATAAGTGCAAGCCAGTTGCCAAGCACCCAGTTCGCGATCACGTGACTATGGGGGTGCTAGGATGGCCAGAACTCCAAGGACCAGTCATAACCACCATTCATTCAGCGCTGTCATAACTTTGAACAGTCACTGAATGAATGATCGTAAGTCGAGAACTACCTGTACCAAACTGGTAGTACATAAGATTTTCCTGCATTTGATTTAGTAAATATAAACAATGACGTAAGGTTTTCAAAACAGCCAATAAAATATAACTATATAACTACATAACAGAATCAAGCCAGCTGGCTTATGGCAGTAACCACTGCAGGTTTTTGAGGAGTAAACAAAGTTAATATACTGCAGCATATGGCTATTTGCAAGCCAGTTTTCTGTAATAGTGTTGCGTCTCAGGTACATCTGCAGGAGACCTGTGTTGCTTAAGCTTACTGAGAACAGACAGTGTTTTGTGTGTATTAATTCTCCATATGCTTTGTGGGCAATATTTCAGAAATTTATAGAGATCATTATGAAGAAAAAATACTGCAAAATACTATCTGAGACTTTCAGGTTTTTAGCAACCATTACTTCTTTTTAACAACTCCATGTGTATGCACATGCATCTTTATACGAACACATCACACACCCTTCCCTTCCTGAATCCTCTTCTACTACACACATGTACATTTATCTTCAATCCAAGTCCATTTTTTCCACAACAACCCTATGAGGTGCCCTGGCCAAAAGTCACCCAGCCAGCTTTCATAATGTCTTAACCAAGAGTCATAAGAGAATACACATAGACAAAAGTATGGCTCCACACTAATTTAAATCCCTTTCATTTAATTTATCTATTCTAGGTATGACTAATCTGAATCCACACAACATGGGAAAGCTATTCTTTAAAGAAAACTTAACAGTCTTTTTTAGCTAAAGTAAATACAGGTTGTCCTTGAGTTATCAGCAACCACTCAAAGTTACGACAGCACTGAAAAAGGGGGACTTACGACCAGTCCACAAAGTTGTGTCCCTCATAGCATCCCCACAGTCACATGATCACAGTCCAGGTGCTCAGTGCCCAGCTTGCAATTACAACATCACAGCGAGCTACGGTCATGTGGTTATGATTTCCAACATTTCCTGCCCAGCTTCCCACAAGCAAGGTCAATGGGGAAGCCAGCAGAAGTCACCTTGCCGCTTTTTCATCCTTCTGCGTTCTGGAGCTCCTGCCCACAGTGCCCCCATCCACCACCCCCCACAGCTCCCACACACCCGACTGCGCTCCAGAGCTCCTGCTTGCAGCAGCGTCCCATGGCACCCATGCACCAACCAGCCTGCTTGTCTGGGACTCCCACTGCTTCCCACTTAACAATCTGTGTGGTCCAGGGGTTACAATAGCAAACAGGACTGCCAGAATTCCTGCTGCTAAGCAATGCTGTCACATGACATCATGCTTTATGACCACATCACTTAGCGATGGAAATTCTGGTGTCAATTGCCATCATAGCCCAAGGACTACCTGTATTAACAAATTTCTTAAACAAGTGGGTGTCAAGCTACTATCTTAGCATTTGATACTTTCATGGCTGCAAAATAATAGCTCACAGTGTTTCTGCGGAACTATTTTGGTAATGTAAATGAATTCCTGGTTTAATATGTAACAGCAGCAGAAACAAAGTACCATATAACCCCAAAGAACCACTTTTCTACTCATACAGATTTATCATGGAAATAAAACAGTCATCTTCCAAATGAGCAACCGACTTGGTTAGCAAGGTCTTTCTATATAATTGCCACAAAAAATTATTGAAAGCCAGTGGATACTGCAAAACAAATGGATAAGAAATACTGCTTTAAAATCAGAGACCACTTTTCCTATCTCTGCCAAGATTCTGGGTTCATCTTTCTAGTGTGCCAGAATTTATTTTCTGGAAAATAATTAACAATTTATATTATCATAGTATTTATTGAATTATTTAAAACAAAATACATATTAAATTGAATGCTTAAATTAACAGAACATATTCAATAGAAGGGGGAGTTGTCTTCCTTAAGCTCCATTTTTTTTTAAGATATTACCTGGTTGTTTTCCCCAAATCCAACTCTCAACAATTGATTTGGCTCTATAGGTAGGCAGTGGTGTATCATCTTCATCTTTCCTCTCTTTGTCATTTTGATCTTCTTTCTTTGATCCAGTCTGACCTTCAGTGCTTTCATCTACAGGATTTTAAAAACCACAAATACAACTGTGAAAATCTTTTTTTTTTTAAGCAATTACTTTTGCATCTAAGAATTTGTCAGTTCAAGTATTGAAAAGGTCATTCTGTATCCTCATATTCACTCTAATATCACCAGTGCTTGGGGAAAACAGGAGAGACAGAAGAAACTTAACTGCCACAGGTGCTACAGCTCCTCTTTCACTTGGCAACACTATGATCCTTCTACTTAAAAATCTCTATCTCATTGTTAACCATGTTCTGAGAATCAAAATATTGACTTCACACGCAAACTGGAACTTCTACCATTATAACTTTATTAAAGCCAACTTTCCCCATTTATGTAATTTCATGTTTTGCACAGTGTTTATTTCTTTGCACATTTTAGCCAAGAGTTGCTTAGTAGCAATGGTTTGTTTTCTCATCCCTAGATTGAGCAGCAACATACTGTATTAACATATCTTCACTGAAATGGTTAACATGTTTGGCATGTATTATAATCCTGTAGTTTACATATAAATATGGCAAGTCAAATTTCTTAAATTATTCTTCTGGCTCCCACTTCCAGGCTTTTAAGTAATAGAATGGCTCCAAAACTGAAATAAGTTTAGAAAGTCAACAGTACAAAAAAACTGTGACAAGCACTGTTTTGTAAAATTAGATTGTGACTATCTCTTTATAAGTAAGGTGAGTAGAGAATAATAAGGGCCCTCTACTTCAAAATTGTTTAACGATAGCATGAACGCAACTCTTCTTCTCCACCCTTTATCATGTGGCTGAAATGAAGAAAATTTGTCCTTTATGTACAAAAAAGCTGTGTGCTCTATTCAGGCCTAGCATTGAAAACAAAATCATGAATTCATAATTCATTAATTCTAGTTGAATAAACGTTGGGTCAGACTGGTTGATCCCAGGGCTCTAGTTTAAAAAAAAAAAAAAAGGCAGTGCTGCCTACTATTGTCCAAATAGTGTACCTTAATATTCCGTCCTACCCTCTTTTTTCAAGCAGACTTCATATCATTAAATTCTAGTGAATCCCTTGTGTTTATTTCAAAAGCAGTAATGAATATGAACTGGGGAATAGTTGCATTACTAAATAAAAACATCACTAATCCATATCATATATGCAGATGTGTGAGTAACCTTTTGGTGAATGGTGCTACACCTACATTTAACATTTGGGGGAAGCCAAAGGCCCTAGTAAGCAGAACTACAATGCAAAGCAGGCAGGGCGTCACATATGAGCAGGTTCAGGACTGCTTTCTTTTTTTTTTAATCCTGGCTTTGGGAAGGGAAGATTTGTCATGGGATTGTGTTTATTTTAGGACTTGCTTAAAACGTTGCATATCTCCCACTTTAAAATGAAGATAAACTGAAGGAATTATTTTTTTTATTATTCTGGTAAGAGGAATATATGAAGGCCACAAAAAGAGATTCAGAAGCCATATGTGGCCCTTAAGCCTTGAGCTGCCCATATCTAATATAACAAAATGTACCTTTTCGTGGAGATGCTTCACCACTTTGGATAACTTCTATTCCAGTGTATACGATTTCCCCATCTTTGACCATTTCATTCCACAGACCACAGAGTCCATCTCTCGTAAAAGCAAGCTTTAATAAATGTGTGACCAAAAAAAAAAAAGAATTCTGATTGTATGCTTTTTACAGTTATTACAAATGGAATATGCTTATTATATTCAATCCTTAAAATAAATCCTAAAACTTAACTATTACACAAATAATAATAAACCCTGGGGATGGCTAGCACCTTGAAGATGCCCCTATATGTTAACATCTTACTGATCATCAACATCTTGGAAGATATTATTATTTGCGTATGTGTTCGGTTTTATTCTATTTTTACTTACTTTTATATTGCTTTTATTGTATTTTAATTAATATTTATTGTTGTTTTATTGTGAACCGCCCAGTCTTCTTATGAGATGGGCGGTATCTGAATTTGAAAAATAAATAAATAATCAATCAATCTCAGGCCCACACTAAACAACTCATTCCATTCAAAGTGCATCCTATATGTTTCTTGAAGAGTATCCCTAAGCCCAAGCTAAAGAACAGCTCATATATGAAAAGTAGGGCACCTTCAAAAGCAGTTTAACATAAGTTTAACAAGCAGGTTAGAGTTTCTTTGACTTTAACATGTCAAAAAAAAAAAAATCAAGAGTCTTTGGTATAATCAAGATCAGAATTTTTGACCCATAGCCTTAGACAACTTAATTGAGGTTACACCAGTGATGTAATGCACAATTTTAGAAGTAGCTCTTTTAATTGCTTAATAATATTAACAAATCTATTTTCAAACTGACTTTTTAAAATAAAAATCCTTGCCAGTTCACTGGCAAACAGCATATTAAAATCAAAGATTCCAAAGTAAACATTTTCTAATTATTTATATTTGTAGATCACCTTTAACGGCACAATCATCCCAGTTTGGCCAACAAAGATACAACGCAAGTGCTGTAGTGAAACTATAAAGAACTGACAAAGCCAACCAATAACCATCAGCAAGCATCGCTTACAATACTAAGGTTAAAATTAATAACCCAGCACAGAGAAATAAAATCCTTTCAGAGGAAGGCTTGAGTGAAGAAATGAGTGTACGCATTTTCACGAAGAAACTTTATTTGAAGTAGATTATTTTGCCAAAGTGAATTACTTGCAATGTATTGTCGAAGGCACAGAGATACTGGACAACACCAACAGCCACTATACCAGGCTATACCGGAAAGCCATTGAGATTCACAAACACCAGCACAGTTCCAATAAAAAAGAGGAGAGCCTAAAAACCAACAAAACCGGGCTACCAATCCTGAAAAATACAGCCTGCAAAAGGTCAACGAACTCAGCTCAACCACCAGGATGCGTG